GCCATGGAGACTCTATACTTGTGTACGTTTACTTCTTACATTTGAGTATATCTGGGGGCAAATTGTAGTATAGGTGCACTGTACACAGCACAATGTTAGCCTTTTCACCACCAGTACACTCTTTTCATCACAAATTCATAAAATAGTCCTGTTTATAGTCTGCACTTTCCTTCAGCAGATTAAGACAAAAATAGCCAAATGTTTTGAGTAAAAACTGAAAATTGATGTTCATTTCCATAAAAAATTGCAGAAAAATTTGGGTGAAGAAGTCTGGTGGTTAAAAGGTTAACAGCGGACAGAGATAAGCCCAATATGCTGTATGAACATGCAACAAGGTTTTATGAGCTCTGCTGTTGCACGTTTAATATTGTGGTTTGCTGTCTGTGGTAGCATGGAAGTTGGGTATTCGCCAGAGTACGGTACTACTGTAAAATCTGTATTTGAAGCCGCGGCTACTATTAAAATGGTACAAAGCAACAATGGAGACGCGGCTTCTATTAGAGCATCTACACATATGAGAAATGGTGAATTTTTGGTTCTCAATTGTTCAAAAAGAATGGGTGCTTCTAATACAGATTTTACGGTAGGCTCTTTAGGCCAACATTATAGAGGGCACTGTCTCCCAGATATGTACCATCCACCTGATGCTATTTGTAATGCCATGCACATAAGTATACAGAGGATTGTAATGACACTCTTTAACATAAAATGATTTAAAATCATCTTTTTTGATAATTTTAAAGATAAAATCTGTTGCCCGTGCATTGATTTAAATAAACAAAATAACCAGAATTTTTTTTCTAGTCCTAATATGCCTGTGTGCAAATATTGTATCTGGCCAACTCGCGAATGCGAGACTTTATTACTTGCTGTCAACACTAAATTTGTTTTGATTATCTGCAGGTGAAGTTAGCGATTCTAACTCTGCAAACAGAGGAGAGATTGCCCAGCTACGAGGTACCATAGCATCACTAGACAGAGAAAAGGATATTCTTCAAGTGACTGTAGATGAAAAAACTGAGAAAATAGTAGCATTGGAAACTGAATTACTAGATAGGGAGGCAATGGTCAATGAAATGAGAATGTCTTTGTCTGATTTAGATGGCAAATTAGGGTAAGTACTGTCTACTGTATTTTCCCGAAGTGATAAAAGATCACAAACAAATGATCAGAGGTATTGCACCATTTAGGGATGCTTTGTGTCATGCAAAATGTTTTTTTCTAGAGTGAATCGAAAATTATTTTCAAATCATGGATTATCTGAGCTATGTCGCAAATTGATCTAAATATATTTTGCATATGTTAAGAATAAAGCTATATGACGTCTTGGGATCAGTCTGTTTATTATCATCTGTGTACCATTATAGGCAGTACAGTGATGAGGTGACTAGCAAAGAGAGGGAGGTGAGAAGTCTACGCAGACAGTTAGATGGTTTACATGAAGAACTCACAGAGACAGGCAGGGGTAGAGAAGTTGCACTGAGAGAAAACCGTAGACAACAAGATGACCTGTCTACAATGACTAGAGAAAATCAAGTGAGTTTTCAAATTGTTTGTGGTCATACTTCAAATACAAAATTCGTTTGATAAGTTGCTCTGAATTCTGTCTACAAAAAGACATAGAAAAAGCAGCATGACATGAGTAAAATTGAATTTATTGGTGTCTTCGTCGATGTTCATGTACATGTATTTTATATTGCTACTATCTATTAGACGCTGAATCAGGAATTAGAAGAAGCCATTAGAGATAGAGAAACCCTAAAGGTACAAATCCAGGATTATATCAGTGAAGTATCAAGAATTGAAGAACTACTGGCAGCAAAGGTATTCACTTTTATTTTATTTTTTACTATAAAATGATCAGCTTCTAAACTTGAAGCATCTCGACAAACATTACTTCTCATAAATATCAATACTGCTAAAAAATGATTCTGCTGTTAATAAAAAAAAAAATTGATTTGCCTTCCCATTCCTGCTTTATTATTATACTGCAAAATTTTCGTCTGAAGACAGTACACGGAAAGTATTGACCAACACATAGCTGTGGTTGATGAGATTGTTGTCTGTGTGCATAAATATCTATATCCCCATAATAGTCATCTTGCATCTTCCCAATCCAACCATGAGATGTATGAAGCCCAAACTTGAGCAAGGTGGAAATTAGCGACAATCTCTCACGATGCACTTAATTCTGAAACTTGCATCATTCCATATTTAGAATTGTTATTTCCTATTATGGTAAGATGCAGAAACACCATGTAACTTATGGTGATATAATATGACAGTTTTATGATAATGTGATGTGTTTGCTGTTTCCTTAGGAACAAGAAAACAGAGACTTATTGGATAATTATCGTCAGGCGACATCTGAAGCAGAAAGATGGGAGTCGGAGGCTACACACAGGGAAGGAGAGGCATCAAGTGTCAGGCTGGAACTCATGACAAAAGACTCTGAACTCAGGAGATACAGAGACAGACTTGATCAACAAGACCAAGAGATCCAGCAGGTAAGATTTAATCAAATATGTAATCAGGCAGAATTTTGTCAGTAGAATATAAAATAAAGTTGATAATATCTACAATATTATTGGCACAAAAGGTGACAAAAATGTCTCGCTCTCTGCTATTTTCATGCAAGTGTTGAAAGTTGAAGTGATCTAGTTATATTCAGTTCAAGCACTGTAACTGAAAAGTCATGCAAGAATATGTAGTGTGATATACAATAATTATGTATTTGTATCTTAGGGTACTTTGTGTTTTTGCACTGCTTACAATGGTGTAATTATTTTGTAATATCCCAAAATGTCGTTCAGTGACATGATATGGAAAATTAGTATATTATTACTGACATGAAATCTAATACACTGTATTGTTAAAACAATTTAAGAAATTGACATTTTATATAGCGAGTTTTCATTATATATAATAGGAAGTTCTTTCATAATGCATAATTTCATAATTGCATGTATGAGCAGTAGCATGCTCAGTTGAGCAAACTTTGAATTTGGCGCAACCTGCCTATAAGACTTTCATGCTATGCAGTCATAGCAAATGCTCTCAAATTATGGAATTGTGATTAATTTTTACCAGTACCAGTAATTTCAGTTTTAATTTGTTGTTACACCGATTGATTGTTCAACATATTTTGTGATTTATAGCATATGGCAGCTCAACAAGCCTATGAAATGCAGGTGTCTTCCCTTACCAAGTCTTTGTCAATCATGGAAGAAAACCTCAGACAGTCGCAGGAAGAGAAGGAGGCAATATTGCTAGACTTGTCATCAGTCAGGGAGTTATGTGTAAAGTTAGAAAACACCAAAGAATCTTTATCAAGGCAACTCACTGCTAAAAACATTGAGTCCGACCAGGTTAGTGATTTCATATCTTTTCCGGTATTATTTCTTCACTCTTTACATTATTGATTATATTCAAGTTTTGTGTCATCAGAAACTTTTTTAATGTAAGACAAACGTGATGTTTTGTAGAATTGAAAATTTAATTGTATTGTAAAGTTGTATTGTTGGTAAAACTGCTGAAAAAGTTTTTAACTTGACAAACTTGACCAAAAATAAAAACTGAAAGTTACAGTGGTTGCAAGTTACACTGATCAAAACCTGACGTATTCATTACACCATTTATTGTCTTTACTAATC